CCAGTCATATGACTGGCAATCCACTCCCACCCAGTCACATGGCCAGCAATCCACTCCCACCTGGTCACATGGCCAGCAAGTCACTCCCACAAAGCAGGCCACACCTACAGAAGAGGTTCTAAAAAAATTGGAAACTCACCACTGGTTTAATGTACTCATGTAAATATTGTATTTGAACTGGCACAGCAAGTTCTGAACACCTTGGACTTCTGTCTGGTGGGAGGGAAATTTATCCAGGATGTTTGTATTGTTTATATTGCCTGTATTATAAAAGTAGCTGCATACACAAGCACACTCGATTCAGAATTAGATTGAAACTATCCCCTTCACCTACTTCCTCACAAAGCTTCTCCTTTTTTGCTTTGTGGCACTAAGGCCCATAATTCCCTGATAATTCCCTGATAATTCCATGGGGTAAGGGCATCCCCCTCAGACAATTCCCTCACTTGAAGAGATAGCAGAAAAGAGATATCCAAAACCCAAACCCTGACTATGACTCACAAATGATGCTGCCCAGCTGCTCAGTAAAGCAGGATAGGTTGCACTGGTAGTCTCATGAGTAGGAGTCCCAGGGCTCATTGTGTGTAATTTTAAAATACAGCTGTGTGAAAAAGTCCTGCACACTTTACGGTTTACAGTTTATGGTTTATGACATTTTTTGGATAGGCCATTGATTTTATGATATTTTATGCTAACTGCTATGCAAATAAATACTGGTGGTTTTTTTGCCGCCGCTCTGGCTACCTCCGTCCATCCAGCAGCTGCGGCAACTTCACCAAGACAAAGTGGCAGTGAAGGGAGGCAAAGGAGCCTTGGTGCCCTGCCTGATCCTCCATTGCTTGCACGTTCTTTTGCCCGCCCGGGCCACCTTGGTGGAAGTCCTTTGCTGGCAGCCAGACCTCCCCTTCCCTGACTTGCAGGGCAATGGGCAATAGTTTGCACAGCGTGGTCGACGCCTAGGAGATAAGCTCCTGCCCCCGTCCCCACTCCTGCGCCTGTGCTTGCTGGCAGCCAGGCATTTTATGCAAGTCCAGGGACCTTGCAAAGGCCTTGCGAGATCCCCGAACTTGCCAAAGACACCAGCCATGCCACGTAAGCTCCCGCCACTGTCCCCACCCCCATGCCTGTGTTTGCTGGCAGCCAGGCATCTTAGGCAAATCCAGGGACCTTGCAAAGGCCTTGCGAGGTCCCCGAACTTGCCAAAGATTCCAGCCATGCCGTGTCAGCTCCTGCCGCCATCCCCACCCCCATGCTTGCTGGTGGTTATGTGGCCCTGCACTATAAATGAGCCCAGGATCCTTGCAAGGCCGCAAAAGGTCACCGGACTTGCTTATAGTGCAGGACCACAGCAGGCTGCTCCAGCTGACCTGCCGCCCCCGCCCCCCACCACCTCCCTGCCCCATGCTTAATTGCAGCTTACTTACCTCCTTGGAGTCAGCAGGCAGCAATAGAGAGCCGAGCAGGAAAAAAGGTAAGTGGGTTTAGATAGGGCTCTTAGAGGCGGGTGGAGCAATTGGTGAGCCAGCCAATCAGTGAGTGGTTGGTGGGGCTAGCATAGTGCGGACGGGCAGGAGGAGCAAGCGAGTGAGCAGCCTCTGGACAGGAGGGGGTGAGTGAGCGAGGGGGCGGGGGCAGTTCCACCAGTGGAACCGGTTCTAAACGGCATGCTAGATTTGTGGAACCTCTTCTAGTGAACTGGTTAGAACTGGCAGAAACCCATCCTTCCATTAAACCGATTACAATATAAATGAGACAAGAAAGAAAATCTTACAATGAATTTCCCCCCTCCCCCCCCCATAGTCTTTCCAGTTGTCTGAGGATTGAAAAGAGTCTTTCAGTCTTTACTTGTCCAGCTCAGGGTCCTTTCTTTCATGTTTGCTGGGTGGCATGCTTGGTGGTAAAGCTGGTCAGTCAGGCTTGGTGTCAACTTGTAAAGCGTTTCCATGCTTATTATCAAATTGACATTGAAAGAAAGGGAGGGAGAATTCCATGCATACTTTCGACCAAGGTTGGATTTCAGATTTCTACAGCAAGCGTGTGAGGTGCGAGGGTTTACAACCTGCTGCAGCACTTTGTTGATGGATGTGATTTATGACACAGACTGAGGGTAGGGGAGACAAAGGGGTAAACGAAAATCAGATCTGACTCCATTGCAAGTATCGCCAAAATGTTGCTCCTAATAAATGACTGGATCTCTTTTGAACTTTGTCTCGAGGCTCGTAAATTAATTAGGGCATCTTTTGGAGACCTGACAGAGAGTCAGATCTAACTTTTAAAATCTATCAAAATTATCGAGTTTCCTGAATCCCTGGCTCTCCAAGCACTCCCCCAATATTTGGGGTGCTTGGATGAGAACTCAGGCAACCATGGCAGAGGACGGACTATCCGAAGAAAGCCTGATTACAGTTGGAGGAGTGCAGCCAGCTCCAGACATCAAAGCCCCAGACAGCAAAGCTGAGATGCCTTTCCCAGTGGCAAAAGCAAGAAGGGATGAGTACTGGTGGAAATTAGCCCCCAAAACAGCTGAAGTTGAGTTCCTTTACCCCAATGCCCAAGAAAAGAGAAGGGTCCTGAGTGAAGTGGCAAGGGTGGACTGGATGTGGACTGGGAACAGGCCAGGCTCCCAAAGTTCCAGATAGAATCCTGGGGAAGTGCAATAGAGCAACTGAGGGAGGATTTTGACCAGACCACCCTTCGTGATGAGGGGCCATCATGCCACCCAAAAGAGAGGGGAGGGGAATCCTGTTAAAAAGAGGAGATTGCAAACTGGAGTGCAGCTCCCATCTTCTACCCAATAGAAGGAGAAGGAGCCCAACACATTAGCCAGTGCCTCTCCCACGCAGCAGGCAGGCTGCCCAGGGCAGACAACCCACTCCCTCTCTCAGAACTAGAGGTGTGGAAGATGGCCAGCCATATCAAGTGCAAGCATACAGAGACTGACAGGAGGTGGGAGGAGCAGGGCTGAACGACCCACCCTGATTCAGGGGAAAGTCTGACTGGGACTCAGACCAGCTAACTCTATTCCTTGATTCAGCTATCCACCTAGAATGCTATGGGCACCTCTACCCATCCCCCAGAGCCATGGTGAATACCATCGCAGAGGGACTAGAGGGAGAAGCAAGGGGATGGCTAGCAGGCCTCCACAAGAGGAGATCCCCCAACTGCAAGATGTAGTTGACTTCCTACAACTGCTAGAGGCCAGATTTGAGAAGGTGGAGGAGGACCTGTATGCGGAAGACGAGCTCAGTGACCTAAAGCAGAGGGGCCGCCCCATCAAAGAGCACATCTGGGAATATAGGAGAGTCATTGGAAGGCTACTCCCTTTACCAGAGCATCTGTTAGTGTATTTTTTCAGAACAAGTCTGGACTAGCAGATTGCCCAAGTAACTGCCTACTGTGACATCTTAAACCGACTCTCTGAGTGGTTCTGAGTAGCAATAAAAGTCAATGGCGGATTGTGTGTTAATAACACAAGAAAGCCACTGGACATGAAAGAGAGAGGTCAACTCGACCTGAAATCACCCGGTCGATGGGGACCCACAGCAACACAGCAGGACCTGAAACCAGCCAGCCCTCAAAGTCCACTGAAATGCTACAGATGCAGAGGATGGGCCACATGGCATCCACATGCATGTCCCCAATCCTGTTGCCAAGGCCAGAGTCACCACCCAGAGCATGACTGGAACGGGCCCACAAATGGGCCACCTATGCATCCCGGAAGGCCCTTCAGACTGCAGATGTCCCTCCCCACCCAAACGAAGGGGAGGGACCCCAGGCAAGAATGACCAGTCACCAGAATCCTATGACAGTGATGACGAGGGTGAAAACGACCCAATGGTGAGAAGACCAATTCACCCTTTCCGTTTTCTAATATGCCTCAAAGCCCCAAAAACAGGAAGCCAGGGGGATTTTCAAGCCCTAGGAGGCTCAGGCTGCACTAGATGTTTGATCAACCTGACCACAGTCCTGAAACTGGGGATCAGAGCAGAAAGACTGGCCCATCCAATCCGTTTTGAACAGGTCGATGAGTCCCTAATGGGGGAGCCTATGCCACCCACCTGACTGAACCAGTGAGATTAGAATTAGTGCATCATTGGGAAGTAATTCGATTCATAAAGGCCCCCAAAATGACAGATGCAGTCATACTGGGACTCTCCTGGCTAGATAAGTGGGAAGCACTTGGTGGCAAGGGTGTGCCCACAGACTTAGGCTAGAAAAGGGCCCCTGACCCCTTCCATACCAGCAAGCAGAAACGCCACCCAAGCAGGGAACTCCCCAAAAGAGCACACCAGAACATCTGGCAGCCACATCCAACAAAACCCCAGAGACCGAACAGATCCAGGGGAATATCAGAACCTCACAGAAGTATTCAGCAAGACTGAGTGCAACATTCTGAGTGCAACACCAAGGGTGTATTGTCTTCACCAAACTAGACCTCAAAGAAGCATACTACCGAGTATGGATCAGGGAAGGAGATAAGTGGAAAATAGCATTCAACTGCCCCCTGGGGAGCTTCCAATTCAAAGTGATGCCTTTTGGACTGCAGTGAACCCCAGCGGTGTTCATGCAGTTAATAAATGAGGTGCTGCATGAGCACTTCTACATGGGGGTCCTTGTCTATCTGAGTGACATCTTCATCTACATGGAGACCATGGCTGACCACATATCCCTGGTCCAACAGGTACTAGAAAAACCTCTAGCAGACAACCTGTACATCAAGCTATCAAAATGTGAATTCCACCATGTACAGCTAGACTACCTGGCCTACCATGTGTCAAATGAGGGAATAGAGATGGACCCAGCCAAAGTACAAGCTGTCCTAGGCTGGTAACCCTGTCACACCCACAGACAGCTACAAAGCTTCCTAGGGTTTGTGAACTTCTATAGACAATTCATCCCCTCCTTTGTGAAGATTGCCAGGTATGAAGTATGGCTGTTTGGAGAACAGACTATTACAGTCCAAATCAC